TGCATGCAGTTTAATAGGAGTGTTCTTAGTATGACGCTTTGTTATAAGAGGTATGTATGACGAACATTACCGTACGAGTCCAGTACTAACGCTTTATCTTTTTTTGTGTTGTGTCATCCTCGTCATATTCCCAGAGGATTGCCGTAACCTTCATAGTCATAATGATCTCTTTGTGTAGTTCCACGGTTCCTAATTTACACACTTGACACATTTTTGAATTTTTAAATAGTACCACTCTAAGTTCTTATAACTATGAAGTTTACTCACCTAGCTTTTGTTAAAACATTAGTAGTTTAGATTAAGTTCGATTTCCACCTTTTGTCCCTAACATCAATGATGAGTCGTAGAAGGAGTATACAGCTGTATGGTGACGTGCAGTTCATTAAGGTATAGCGTATGTAATACTACAAATCAACGTTGATCGTTCTCTTCTCTGCACCAGTTCATAGTTTAGATGCATACCAAGATTATTATATTATTCATAATGATACGATTAGCCTGTCTTTGATTAAAATGTGACATGGAGATATTTAAATCTGTTTCCTCAACTCTGATTCTTAATTGTTTTTCTCTGAGTATTTTGTCAAAAGAAAATAAACCCTGGAATCCTGTTGATTACACACTGACACTTACATCTCTACAAAACATCCTTGGCATATTATGCCATGCAGTTACTGAAGGTATTTGACATGTTACTGTTTTGTGCATCTGTATGTGTACAGGAAACGCATTCATATTACAACTATCAGTTTCCGATTAGAGATAAGATAAATGATATTAACACAGTCTAAGTAATTGCACAATGAACTACCCGAATGCTGTTTGGAGTGATATTGGTGCTGTTATATGCTTTATGCAACAGTGTTATTCCATGAATTGAATGCGTAGTTATACGTTTGCTTCAAAAATAATTGTTACCGCCTTTACAAATCAACAAATAAAATATTCCCTGTAGTGGGCGATATATTCAGGAAATCTTCTACATTAATAAAAAATATCAGGCTTTCGTCTCAAACTTGATGATAATACTTTATACAATTATTCAAAGCCTGCGTGAAATTAACAGCCCTATTGCATCCATTATTATGATCAATGGCATCAGAGTAACCGTAAAAATTATGCACTATTGACAAAGCTGTCAGGTGAATAGAGCCTGAAGCGATAGTACAGGTATCGGCGACATCACATGTTAGTTTGCGATAGTGATCAAAGACACAATGCACGCAATGTATTTTTGTTTACGATCATTGCTGTTGTTATGTAATGCGACACTTACAAGGTGTCCCCTACATTTACCAATGATGTACTTAACGTATCAGCATATCAATCAGGCCCATGTTTATATGTCAACTGACCATCAACGAAAGTAATGACGCGGACAAATCAGAGGCAATATTTACAATCACATAATAAATCTTTATTAACGAGAGATAAATACCTATATTTACCTATATGATAAAAAACCGACGCAATTATTTAATAAAACATAAAAATAATTATAATAGATAAAAGTTTACTCTGACCAATATCGCCTTTTCACAAGCGATCAAAACTAAATAAATACTGCACAAATCATCGGTGTATATACATCTGCTTTTACCTAATCGTCATTATCGATCAATTCACGCCACCCAATCGATTTTTGTAAGGCAGTACGACGTATAACTAGCCTGGGCATGAGGAAACGTTTAAGTATAAAAAGGTTTATAATTACGCAATCCGAATTAAGGGAAAGCACGCGATGTGCAAGTAGCAATTAAGATTAATTCACTGTATTGATAGCACGAACAAAGCCAAGAGATCTCCCCTTATGGCATTTCACTGCGATATTCTAAAATAACTTCGATAATGGATGTTGAGTGTTCACGCTACGGCATTCAATATTTAAGGCAGCACATGCCAGCAAACTATATACTCTATGTTTCTGCAAACGAAAAACTAGTTGTCGAAAGGAATTAACGATTGCAAGTTTTATATTTTGAAAATGAATAATTGCAAAGAGTTCATCAATTGCTTTGTTTATGTAAGATACAATACAAGTCTAAATTCCTTATAAGTTTCACTGATTTAAAATATTTGTTACTTCACTGTTTTCCTAGATTAGGAACTATAAGCAATCTATCAAAAGACTGTTATCAATTTTTTTGTAGTAAATAATATATTGTTGCATAGCACAAAGTACTGTTCTTTGTCCTTCCATTTCGTGAGAAAGGTAAACAAAATATTTCAAACGACGTAAGGTGTTACTAATCATAAAAATACATCGATATGTCTTATAAAATGCTGAATAAACATAGTTGTAGTATCCACATGTTGATATGTTTATTGAGGTATAAACTTTACTTATGTAGTGAAAACCAGAATTCAAACTGTGGTTATATTTAAATGATCTGATCAAAGCTAGTTTTTAATATAATATGATTTTAATAAAATACAATATAAGAAAATATAAACATACTGTCTAACGTTGAAAAATGTTACAAACGTTACAAAAATGTAATGCGTCACTGTACAACCTGCGCTTAGCATGATCGTTATCATCGCTTTCTTTCTGTATTTCCCTTAGGCAGATATGACACTGATATATATCACTACTATATTACATGTTACAATTTTATCACCTTGGATGAAGGTTGGACTGTCACTTAAGATAACAAATATATTTTGCACTGAATATAATGCCAAAAGGGAAATGCCTGTAGTTATAGCTACTGCGACGATTTATTCCTCTCTGTTTGAATAAGAGAGTATGATAATGATAGGGAAGCCTTGACCATTCAGAGCTGATACTATGACGCTTGCCTCTCAATATCTTTATCTCGATTGTTCCAACTCTTGGCCGGAAATACAGAAACCTTGACAGATGCCATTTTTTGTGAATTGGCAAAGATAGATACGGACTGGAATGGCATCTACATGTTCAGATATTTGGCAGCTTCAGTACTCGTCAATTATCATAAACGTTCATCATTTAAACAGAACGAAGAGTACGTTATGATGGGCAAACAATTAGAGGTTGGAGAGAGGTCACATTAGATAATCTGGAACAAAATAAATATCCGGCTTAAAACGGAAGTGCCGAGAGATTAGACAGGTATACTGAAACCGTAAAAAGACAAAAACAACGTTAAGAAAGTGCGCATGAAACAAATATAACAAAAATAACCCAACATAAGTCCTTGGCAAATGAACTATACCGATAACACCGCAAACCAAGAGTACATACATAGAAAAGATACGAACATATCAAAGTAACATGCTATAAACATCACCAATGAATTTTCCAACTTGCGGTAGGAGATTCTTGAATTAAAACAAGACCCTTGATGGGTGTTTATTTTTGGTTGGGAGATAATAAAAAACAAGTTTATTTTAAATACATGTTGAACGGCGAAAAAAAGGGAACAATCCACGGAAATAAGTGTAATATTATTGACGTTAAACATTGAATTGCGTCTTAGAATTCCATTGACAACATAATCAAGGATATCTTTATTTACAGAAAAAACTTCAAATAAACAAATAACAAGTAATTACGATATGCGTTTACCAATACATGTATTTATGATATATCGGTTTTTTATTTAACTGAAATCATCAACAGCTTAGATGCTCTCTAAAATCATTGAAGCTTACGATATTGCAAAAAACTAACATTTAAACAGTTTAATATGTAAACGTTAAGATGCAGCGAAAAACGGAGGAAGCTATAGCGAGAACAAATACAATGTTGCTCATTCTGACGTCACGTTTAAACAAATATATATCTATAGTACATGACATTAACTACATTCGTATTACCTATCATTATATTCATTTTCTTAGTATGCGCATTATACAAACCTGTCTAATGCAAATATCTGTCATAATGTAATGATAAAGATATTACATATTTTTTGGTGATTTGTGGAAGTGGCCTACTTTTATTCCTCGCAAAGTAACATTTTATATTTTAATTTAGATATGAAGTAGTTGTCGAAGAATCAATCATTTTTTTGTAGGTCCTTCAATACTGTTGTAAGTATGATACACGTGTATGATCATAGTTGTTATAAAAATAACCAGGGTAAATTCGAGGACCGATGACTATCCTTGTTTAATTTGTATTTATGGATTGAAGTTTATTACTATAATTGTATGATGGTATGAACTGCCGTCGTGAACATGATTAATTACCAATCAAAAGTGCTTCTTATAATTACATATAATGATATTAATATTCATAACAGCATAATGACTATGAACGATAATAGCATTCAACTATCAAATTATTACGAAGATTAGCATATAAGGACTAATAACAGCAATCAGTATGCGTCCCGAAGTATTGATATAAAGTTTATATTCAAACAATGATAGTGTATTGGATAAATATTGTTAAATCTAACAATTAGCATTTTGAAGGTTTTAGCGCCTTTGGCTGTTTTGCCAATTTCGCTGTTCAAACCCCGGTTAATACAATCTTGTTTATTATTCAATTATATCGGTTTATGTTTCCTTGCATGCATACATTCTGTTTTTTCTATTAACATCAAAGTTTAACTGCTTTTTAAATTAAAGATATAATTTGAAAAAAAAGTTACTAAATGATAATTTCAAACCAACTGAAGTTACCATTAAGATTGAAAAGGGAAGCTGAAAATACCTTAGTTTTTGTCCTACATTTGGTTTATAAAAAAATTCAACTATGGTTCTCAAAGGTTTCCCGATAACACAACTTTCTTATCCAAATAACCTGTCAATTCTCGCCGTCCTTATTAAAAATTGAATCACGATATTTATATGTGTATGTTAGTAAAGTAAATGTCCTCAGTAGCACATTTTAACAGGCAACATCGTCTTAAAACACGGGCATTGTTACTACGTACAATGACTTATTAGTCCGTACAACAATCTGATCGACACACAACTAGGTAAGGTTTGTGTGAGACGTAATCGTATTGGATATTCGTTGGCAACGTACATGGAAACAGTGGCACTAAACTATTTATCCCTTCAGAATGAAGAAGCACGTGCATTCACCACTGACAGCTGACTTAGAACTATAGTGTAATACACGCCAGTGAATTGGTAGGGTGGGTAGATTTAACAATCTCTAAATGCTAACCCTTGTGCTGTACGATCGACGAGAAGTCTGTCAATCTTTCAGCCGGACTTGTGCTACAGTGTAATTGATACGACGGTTATGATTCAATGCGTTAGCTTGACCACTGGGTCGCTATAAAAGCGCGCTCAGGGCCGCGGCACCGAACCATCTGTAACGTAACCGCTATACAAGTACAATCAGCTGATAGCTGTCAACGCGAAAGGATGCATCGCCTATTCCATTCTCTCCTGTTCCTTGTGATGCTCTCTACAGTGTATGCTGTAGCGATCAACCAAACAAACGATACCTATCAAGCATTAGAACAGGAGAGCAAGGAACTAACTTCCATTCCAGAGCAAGAAAAAATAACACAACCGTTATATACTGATGATTACTATTCAGAAATTTTACCGGAGTTGACTTTGAGACGTGATGACAATGCCGATATTGAATACGATGTGCTCAATGATACGACAAATGCAACCTCATTTTATGACTATGAAGAAGTAAAAGAGCCCAAACATAAAAAGTGTCAAATGTGTAGAATTCGCGATGAACAGAAACGACATCGAGTGGAAGCCATAAAAAACAGAATTTCGCATGTCTTGAAACTGGATGTACTTGGCATGCCCAACACAACAGCAAAACGATTACCAAAAGTACCATCGTTTTTACGATTGCGTGAAAAATATGAAAATGCACAAATGCAATCGGATTCACCTAGTAGACGGAAGGAGGAAAAACTGCGGTACCAAGACGTGCAAGAGGAGTATGGGCAACCGGAAAGAACGTATAGCTTTGCAAAAGAACGTATGTATATGACTGTCATTTAAATTACATTTTAATGTTACGATAAAAAAAACATTCACTAGCAAAGGACCGATTACTGACAAAGCTACACACACTTATACCATTGGGTTTATTACATGTCAATTACAGTGTAAGACTTGTGGTATGAGTATCAATTATTATGATACCGAGTTAAAATTGTATTAATGCATTATTGACTAATGCATAACACATTAATGGGCTCTCTTAGCCGCAGGATAATGAAGCAAGTTTAGCCAAAACATTAAATTATTTTGTCTTGAATGTGTTTAATGATCACTGTCACATCAACACATATTATCCATTCCATAATCAGATACGTTTTGAAAAGTTAAGGTTACCACAACGACTCCAACAGCTAATGAAACATACAATAATGCTGTTTTTATCTTCGAGACAGTCACTGCTATAAGTGACTTTACTAACAGAGGCATATCTTGTATAGATACAGCGGAACTGGGATCGCTGGCTTAGCATATTACTTTTAATTAATTCTTCTAGGTACATCAATATCGTAATATAACGAAATTTACCATAATCCTATAATGCCTTTCGTATCCATTTATAGTATTTCAAGTGCTGCTAAAATAGTCGGATAGTAATACAGAAGACTGTGGGCTAAATATTTATCGAAAATCATCATAAAGTTTTATGTATGATTTTAACTTAAAAACGGCAATACTGAACGTTTTGGTTTGAAATGATTTTAATTATGTAAAAATAAATTATATGGTGAGAAAACATATCAGAAATAACTTCATATTAAAGGTATCGTCAGGTACACTACACACATATAATCATTTTCGATAGAGATATTAACTAATCACTGTTTATAGAACAACAAGCTTCATCCAAAACCATTTAGATCAATAAGAATACGATTACTTTGAAAACAGTATGTACGTTATACATATTTTACTATTGAAGTATAGTGGGACATATTACACATCTAAGATGTCTTACCTGGATTAAAAGATAGCTCACTTAAATCGTCCAAAGGAATATATACACAAGGTAGGAGTGAAAAATACATTTCATATACATATTCCTTAGCCATTTGAACTATAGTTGTATCCGCAAATATATCCTCAAACCTATCACCCACGTTCCAGAACGCTCGCTACTAAGCTAACATTTAACAGCACTGCGAACAGTATATATATAGTTGAGAATTGTCGACAAGTGAGCGTTTTTGTACCTTCGTTTTGCCCAAGATCCAGACGATATCCTTCGTCTATTACGGGATATGGGTCGAGGTTACATTGCAATGGTGTAGTCAGGGTCAGTGGCACACGTCTGCCTACATCAATATGCCTATTCATCAAAATCTATCACTTCAGCTTTGTAAGTGCAATACGGCGAGTACATCGCTTATTACCGACAGCCAGGCTGAAATATGGACGCATACATGTTCAATATATTGTATATTTTGACAGTTGGCTATTTTTATAAGCACTGAACACACTTTTTTTATCGTGCAATATTTATACTATCATTTGGCTAGTGTTTCAAAAGATCAGGAAACGTAGTGCTCATTTCAATTGAAAATAAAATGAAACTTAATACCACAAAAAACATTTGTGTAAGAAATATCTTTCGTCCTGCCCTTCAGTGTAAGACATTACTATATTTTAGGGAAACAATACCTTAAAAAAACAACCCCTAAGAAATATACTGAATAGTTTACCCTTTGCCTAAGCTATTATTTACGTTATTTTGGGATCACTCATATACCATATTATCATAAGCAGCGCTCTGAACTGATTTCAAGTTGAAACTGTCGAAGTACCTATTTAAACCGCCAGTGTAATTCGATGGAGAAAGCTTAACAACGTAAGATATTTGTCTGAAAACTCCAAAGTTCACTTGGTCTACAGTGTAGATGTAGCAATATTGACAAAGGTATTAAAAAAGGGAGTCTTCTATACATGCTAATCAATTATTTGGCTGTTCCAGTTAAAACAGATTTTATTTTATTTTATCATTCTTTTTTTTTTCTTCAAAGGGAATATACTCATTTTAACATTATGCATGGAAGATTTCATAATTATTCATTGTTAGCATTATCGCATCAAAATAGTATCGCTCCGTGCATACCTGTTTTCCTTTAGTTTTTTCTACCTGATCCTCGCATATCATCAATATATATGTGTTACACTGAAGGACAGGAGAGAGAATGATCGTTGTTCTCCTCTGATACGTTTACATATTATAAATACGGTATTACTTTAGTAATATCTTACACTACAAGCAAAAGTATTTGATCATTTGTCACAACCGTACGTATACAACATACACATATTATAGTAATCTACACAGCGACACACAGGAACATCACGTACTATACAGATACACAGGAAGAGATGTGCGTTAACCCATCGTTTAGTGTCTGGTTTAGGAACCCAGCAACAATTCAAAAATAGACGTAGGTGTTTTCCAGTTTGAACACAGCAATTCATAGTATAATGAAAAGTGCTTGGACTTCTGATGGTTAGTCTGATGTCGAGATATAAACATTAATATATGGCAGATGATATATATTTTCTAGAATCAGAGTAACAGAGATCCTATTTGTGGTCATTTTGAAATGGTGGCTTAAGACTTAAGATTTAAAACTTATATTATACACCTCGTTATACTGACACCATGCGTGAAATGGAATTTTGGTGTTGTAAAGGGGATGAGCGATAAAATGAAGGAAATGTTTTTGACAAATTCTTGAGAAAATATGATTGACCATGAAATATATTGGCAGTAAAATGCGAGGTAGAAAATTAAACGAGGGGCATAATATCGAGGTTTTACAGTACATTTACTGTAACATTAAACAGCTGATCCGCTAAATCAATTTTATTTCTTCTGGTCGTCAAAAGGAGAGGAATCATCGTTTATTGATACCAATCATGTAACTGATCTGCAGTTACAATATCCCCTTGGCTATAGCTAAACTGTGTCATCTCTCATTCTCTGTTGACACAGCTAAGATGGCATGGCTTTTCAAAAGTGGCTCCTTTTGTTTACAGGTTGTTAGGCATGATGTTAAATTAAGCTTTTTCTTCATCCACATAATGAATTTTTAATTTGTCATACATTATGTGTGTCTTGCAGGTATAGGTAGTTAAGATCCGATATGTTTAACCTGTAGGTTCATCATTTAGTTTGTGCACTGGTTCACTATAGGAGGCATCTTAAGGAGTTGTACAACAGCCACTGGCAGCCGTTCGTTCATTAGTGGGGATTTTCCCATTGACGACTATGCATTTGAGGTGATTTGTTCAGCAGTAATAATAGACAGTACAAGAATGTATCTTCAAAATTTTCTTCTAAGAACGAATTATGCAAACATACTTCATTACTAATTTTGATACATTCAGTTGGTGGCGTGTTTGGATGATAGAGGGAAAAACAATGCCCCCTTTTGTTTTTAGTTTTTCCTGTCTTGGATTGGAGAGAAATGTGGTCTGCCCTCATACATCTAAGTTGAGTGGATATAAACGGGTCATGAATGTTTTCTGGCTGTGAGTAATAAGTGATAGCTGGAAACAAGAGTTTTTGTTTTTGTGCTTGTTGTTTTGTAACGTAAGTCGTTGGTTAGCTTGTAATCTGATAATGTCGGGGTCGTTCCAATCACAATTTCAGGCACTGCAGAAATATCAGCTATGAATGCGATGGTTGTAAGCATGCTCCAGAAACATATCCAAATTATCACAACCCGATGTCTAGTAAGTCAGTCTGAGGACTGATGTAACAAAAATGTCATTATTACTGAAAATGAGACGACAATATAGGAAAAGCTCAATTCTTAAATGTAACACTCCGATATCTGGAACCAGAAGACTCAGTTTGAACATGTTCGTTTTATCCTAAATCAATATTAAAGGGCTACCAGTTCATATTAGTATCAAGATACATCACAAACGGTCTATAGTAGACTTTTAATCTTAATTATCATTATTTTTATATATATTAAAATATTTCTGAAATTAAACTATCTTACAATTTAGTTGCTTCGTGCTATACTTCAGAACATGACATAAATATCAACTAAAGTCCTAATTGTGGTTTCGCCTTAAGTTGTATCAACTGTAAAAAAAACACAATTATTTTTCATAATTCGGCAAACTTTATAAAACGATATTTGAATCGAATGGATGGCATTGTGTCGATTCAAATATAGTGTGCCACGGTGGTAAAGGCAATTTAAAAGAAACTTGCTTTGAATCACAGTACATAAATGTGAACTTACAAATTCAATACGATATTAAAAAAAATACACAAAATCCGCTGTAGTCTTTTTACGAAAATGTCCTATTGAGGTTTTTTTATTGATCATGTTAACATACTTAGGATTCACATTTTCTGTTGTTTGCTGTATTTTTACGAAAGACATTTTACAGACTAGGTATATTTCACGGGAAGAATTCGTCTTTATTAAACATATGTAAATTGTCCATTTTTACAGTTCCTGCTGACATGTCATCGGAATTTGAGAACATCATATACTTCGATATGCAAGTCGCACCAGAAAAGGAAACCAACAAAGCATTGTTATGGGTTTATATCAACCCAGATGACATCATCGACAAAAATATGACTGAAATATATGTTTACACCATTGATCCACCTGGAAAATTTAGTAAAGTTCCAATCAAACGGGAAATCGGAAGAAGAAAACGACATTATATGAAAGCAGCAGGTTGGCACCACTTTGATATTTTGGACGAGGTTCAAAAGTGGACCTACAGACCCCATCTGAACCTGGGACTTGTTGTGGAGGCACTGGATGAGGCGGGCCGCAACGTCGTAGTGCTTCCTCCGACGTTTGGAGTAAATGATGGATATGTAAGTCAAAATAAGGTTCCATTATATTGAAATGAAATGTTAAAAACATTAAATCATTCATGCAAGTATTATTTTTTCTTCTCGAATAAAAACTACTGTGGATGAATAATAACAGTATCCTAACCACCTTAATTAATATATATATAGGATCTTACATGAATTACCATTTCATGAGATTTATGGCGAGCTGAAATGAAAAATTTGAGACGCTTTTTATAAATTTCATATGAAAAGAAAACGAGTAAAAGATCCTCTTTATCACATCACCAAGATTTGAGGCATTTATTCGTGTAAAACGACAATTTTCATGCAACCTTGAAACGTAAAAAGCCGCCATTTTGACTGAGAGGGCTGAGAGGTGATATTACATGGGTTAATTTGCAAAAAAAATATGACATGGATATATTCCCTGGATAACATAGTACATTATGTGATAAATATATATACAAAAATTGTCATCATCCGTATGTATTCAGAACGTAAGAAACAATAGAAATCATATTGAGCTTTTATCCTTAAACTTACCTTGCTGTTATAAAGTCACAATATTAATATACGGGTTATACCCATTACTATATAAAAAAGCTGAAAACAGTTCATTTGTCGGAAAATAACGCCACAATGCTTTAGGAAGTTATGATTATTGGAGATTTCTTCCCAGTTGGGGACGGGAATTATGCAAACACACTGTCTTTCGATATGTAATACAAACGCTCTTGGCTATCATATTTATCTCAATCTAGTATAGTTTTAAAATATGAAAGTCATACTCACATACTTTAAAAAGACAAACGGTTAACGTTGTGTCTTTATAATATGAAATTATCTTACCCTAAATAAATAAACAGAACAAAACAACAGCAAAACAAACACCAATCGCTTGGGAAACTTTACGTAAATTGGTACAACCATACTTCGATCTTTGGTAATAAACTTATGTTAGGTTTAAGAAAACGGATTCGTCGAGCAAATGTATGAAAAAAATAGTTCAACACTTTGCATAAAAATCCAATATGTCCTCGTGTCATCATAATAAATCTTAACGGCCCATTCAAACTCACAAAAGCGTATCATGATATAAACAGTCCGGTCTAGTTAAATAGATAAACGTATACTAAATCGTCTTTAAAACCTTTTCACACTTTGTAATTGTATTAGGTATAGTACGACAGGTGTGAAACTGCCGCGTCAGTAGCCTTTATTATCCCCTATTTATACAAACACAGCTGGTGTAGAATACACCCTTCAGTTCGTAACCAATCATGACACATAATTCAACGAGCAAACACATTGGCAATGCAATTTTAATGTCTTTAAAATAGGACATGGTCCTTATATATTGTTAGTTGTTAAACAAATAAAAATGGGTGTATATTACTGCATCTATATATTATCCATAACGATACAGGTACTTAGTTCTACAGTTAGGGGAGACCCACTCATAAACATTGACGTTGTGGTGTTAGGGGAGACCCACCCATACACATTGACGTTGTTACTCACCACGTGACTTGTTGGTACCGTGCTCAGAGAAAAACTGTACCATTGATATGCATACTTAATCCACAGCTACAAGAGTAGATCGAGTCAGCTGTGTTTACTTAACATAGTGTTTCGTATTCACACCTGTTATATTAAATCATGAGCACGTGTTTTATGATGACATTAACAATGATCCCCGGTTGATAATAATAGTCATGTGATAAACTATCGAACTACTTTCTTACCGATTTGTTTTAAACAAAAATTAATTTTAATTAAACACATGAGAGGAAATCCGTATCGTGATATTAAATTGGTCGCAATACAGTGAAAGAGAAAATTGTCACGAGTGGAAATGTTCGTGTTTTGATTTTTTAATCTGTTTGCAATATTGTTGAAATCTATGTATTATATGTAGATATATCTGTCAGCTTAATAATCTATTAAATAATAATCGTGGGTTGACAGTTTCGCTTTAATTTAAATGTTTCCCCATCGCCATAATTTCCAGTAGTCTAAACACAAAGAAATGAATAGTATCTTTTATTATTAGTATATTGTTCATATTTTACAGGAACCAATGCTGGACATGCGTACTTCTCTTAGGAAGAGTACACGCTCTAAGAGATCAGCCGAGCTTTATTGTGACCAGCGAGAGGAGACCGCGTGTTGCAGATACCCATTGGAAGTTGATTTCGTTGCGTTTGGGTGGGACTTTGTGATAGCTCCTTTAACGTACGCTGCCTACTACTGCGCTGGGGAATGCAAGGGCGAACAATTGGACGATACACTTCACGCTCATGTGATCCAGCAAGCACCGTCCCCAACCTTAAGCCAGCCACAGTCAGCGCTGAGCAATGTTGGTCCGTGCTGTACCCCGACTAAAATGTCCGACTTAGCCATGCTTTTCTTCGATCATAACTCTAACATAGCATTAACGCGATTGCCCAGGATGAAAGTAGACAGATGTGGTTGTGCGTAAGGGGAGGACACGACAATAGAAAGAAAGAGACAGGATGGTGAAGTGTCTGCGAAATAGTAACGAATGTTTGTCTGAACGGGATGATGGAAACTATTTGTCTTTCAGCCATGTTTCTACTCGTGATTGCAGTGCTGTTGTCAGTAGACCGGCACTGAGAGAACGAACCAAGTGATTGTTTTACAAATGACAGAGAAAGGGATGATTGAATAGGGCAGATTATATATAAAGTATATAATAACATTACCAGTTTTTGATTTTACAGAGTTGGGTGTGAAAGATTGACACGAAATCCATAGGATAACCTCGTGTTGAGAATGCATCACCTAAAAGGTTAAGAAGACGCTACTGTTTACATTATATTATTTGTCTTTTGGTGCTTTTAGAGGTTAACAATGCACCAAGTGGTGCTACATCATACATTTTGCGTCTTTCCTGTCGATCTCATTATGTATGTCATTTTCCGTCATAGTCGCTAAAGCGACAAATCTTTCTGCCATAATAGTATGTAAGTGTATGCTGTCATCAGTACGATCCTTTGTTCATACTACACTGTGCTAAAATTGCAAAGCTTTTAATATCTGTATGTATCGTTTTCAATGTTTGTTGTTCCCATTACAATGTTATTGTCGATGTGTTACTATGTTCTGGTTATATAAATTGAAGAGTTCTTGTCTGATGGACATTGTACAAATAATAACTGTATACTGGAATGTTATCGCTGCAATCTAACCTTCGCCTTTTTGGTCTCGATAATGACGGAGAATATAAGTACACGATCTACTTAACATTTTAGTAAAATGTGAACGGCAAAATTTGGTATTGCCATGAGGGCGAGAGTTTGAATAGGCGAAAACGTCCCGGTGTACGAGTAAAATGTATTTTGAAGTGTCTATCTAAAATGTATAAAGAAACTACTTATGTATCAAATTGTAGATAATGATTATAATGTTTCTGATTAATCAAAATTAGATGTTACTGTTAATGATACGACCAGTGTTACATTTGCAAATGAATGAAGTGATAATAAATGGCAATGTATTAGTCTTTATACAATCAATGGAAAATATAGCTCGGAGTTAAACTCTGAACAGCATTGTCTTAAAAACCATTGTAAATGGTTAAAATTATACTTTGAACCGTAGCATTATATAATTGTACATTTGATGTATATTATAGATCAAGTGGCTGGAGAAATAATAAGTTAAACAATAAAAGCTACGATCGAAATCTGTCTATTGATCGAAGTTTATCTCATAATATTACATGGTAAATAGTGTCAAATAGATTCAAAAGTAACAATTTTTAATTGTCAATGTAATATTGATGCAATGTGTTTACATTTTAGACACACTAAAAAGTGTTTCTTATAGGGAAATTAATATTTCTTTAATCTCGTAATTCGTCTCATATCCGTATGAATCGTTGTTTCACCTGTCCCATAATTTAGACTATTACGTAATTATCTCAAATTCCAAATAATTTGGACTTTGTTTTAGTACATTCGAGCAACATGATTCATATTGAGCCATATTGTTTTGTTTGAAGCCGACTGTTCAAGCATGACATTTGAAGTTGTAAATAAGTTGGCAATGAGACAACGTACCATGGCATAGGTATAATTGTACATCTGTTTTGTCACAATCATGTATTTTATTGCTTGTCGGTCACTTGTGTTAAATGTTATGTTTTAATGTGATGACGATGCTTCGTCATTTTGGTATAAGTATAATATAAATGATCATCAGAAGCTTCTATATTAACGAAACAGCACGATTGCTGTGATACCAGAAAACCTGTATATAATTATTGCAAAGCACTGAGTGCTAATATATCTTATTTGGCTTGATGATAATATCTGCGATCCAGCGAAGCATTAGGGCAGTAGCATCACATATGTAGACAGTATTTCTTGACTTCATTCATGCTTCTTTTGCATTCCAAAATATCATAGCTATATGTGATTGATATACTAGTAGATTATAATAAATAATTAACTGTAATACAGAGGTTATTCAGTCATAGCGTTTAACGTGTTGTAACAGACGTCATACATTATTAGAGACCAAATGTTCTATGTTCAAATACGAGAAATGTTTTATTGTTGAGAATGCGGAGTGCCTTCTGTGATGTATTGACATCGGAGATCTGTGATAGAAAAATCATTAAATGTGAAAATTTCAACTCTGACTTTGTTGTTCATGTATGGTGGCATTACGCTATTGGTACATTTGTTACTACATAGGCATGATACATAAAATTCATTCGGTTCTGTGCTATAATATTTCAACTTATATCAATTATACCTTTGTGATTTTGTTTTTCGAATCATGTTCAAAATTATAGAATTATAGCTGTGAACAGGATGAATTTTGATATATTAATACGTATATAAGACATTGACGTTGACAATACATTGTCATTTACAATGTCAATTTGCTCTTCAAATAGGAAATATCTTTTCATTTTCAAATTGAACAGCCTAGAGAAACCTTTCTCTTACGTTTCGATTATAATGTCACAAATGTAATGACGTCACGTCGACATGAAAGAGTTATTTGGGGCCTGTTCATTTATGCGGAACAACAACCGGTTTGTCCGTTTTTAAATGTAACAATTTCGGGTATAAGTACTGGCGGACCTGCAAATGTTTATGCAGGCCTTGCAAGGCTGTGTCAAGGCCCGCCTGAAAGCAGCATCAGATTACTACGTCCGATCTTGTTTAATAAACGAACAATTGTGGTCCGACTGGTTCAATCGTTCGAACGAAAACGGCATTGGTCTAACAGCTCTCATCTGATACTGTAAGGTTAGTATAGTTGTAATACAGAGCATATACAATAGTCAGATTTATCTGTCATTGTATGAAGGTTAACTGTTACAAAAATACTCTACCAGCAATCGCTGTTTTAGATCTTCTATGTTGCCTAGTCAACTCTTAACCTTTGCAATGTTAACCTGTCAACTCTTAACCTCTACAATGTTTCTTTTTATACTCTTTCCCTCTACAATGTTTCCCGTTAAATTCTCTACGTTTCTAATAGATAAGAGGCCCAATGGGCCTGCATCGCTCACCAGGTATTAATCTCACAATTGTCACCTTAAAAGTGTACTAAAATAAAGCTACAGACAAAATATCAGTGTCTTGACTCAAGTCATTCAGAAAAACCTGTTAAACGATTTAAACACAGTTGACCCAAGGTCTATGACCTTGAAAGTCAAACATTGACATTAAATTTAACAAACTTTATAACCTTCATCCCAGAATGCTACTTGTCAAATATCACCACCCTAATGGCCCTATACCTTTTGTTTACTGAGAAGATGACATTTAAGATTGATGCACTGTGGACCAGATGTGACCTTGAAAGTGTGTCAAGGTCATTCACATGAACAAGCAATCACACTGGCACTTTATTCATTCAGAAGAAGTCGTTGTTTTTAGTGTTTTTAAGACAAATAACCCCTGTGACCTTGGATATGGGCGAAGGTCATTAATTTGACGAGCTTCGTAGCCCTTCATGCCAATATCCTTCTGGCTAAATATCATCACCATGTACAATAGAAGTCGTTTAAAGGTTTAAGACAATTGACTCCTGTGACTTTGAATTTGAGCGAAGGTCATCCCAGCTTGTTAATGTCCAACTATCATCATCCTGGGCCTTCTGGTTATTCAGAAGAAGCTGTTTAAAGATTTCAACATATTTTACACCCCTGTGACCTTGAATATAGACGAAGGTCATTCATTTGAACAAACTTGGTAGTGCTTCATCCCAGCATGTTAATGGCCATATACCATCATCCTGGGCCTTCTGGTTATTCAGAAGAAGTTGTTTAAAGTTTTTAACATATTTGACCACTGTTACCTTGACAATGGGCAAAGGTCACTAATTTGAACAAACTTTGTAGCCCTTCATCCCAGCATGTTACTGGCCAAATATCATTAGCCTGGGCCTCTTCGTTATTCAGAGGAAGTTGTTTAAGTAGAAAGTTGACGACGGACGGACGGACGGACGACGGACGCCGCACCATGGCATGAGCTCACTTGGCCCTTCGGGTCAGGTGAGCTAAAAATAGAAAGCTGTTACGAATAATATTATATCTCTACCTTTTTTCCTACAAATATCATTGTTATATCCCTACGTTTCCGTATTATAGCTGTAACCACTACCACTGTTATATCTCTACAACGTTTTTTTTATGTCAGCTGTAAACAAAAACCCTGAAGGCTGTAAGGTTAGTTCTCATGTTAGACTGATTAACCGTACTTTTATTCTGTCAGATACTCATTAAAAGTTTAATATACAATAAAAGTCAGGTGTTTGAATAGAAGTGTCAAAAACAACGGCAAGGTGCGATAATAAAAACGTTGAAAACAATATTTCAGTTGTACTGCTCATAAATGTATTAATGATGATTATTTTTACGCAAGAAATACATTATTCTGTCAGGTTGTGCAGCACGTCAAACGTGTCCACTTTCATGATAGTAATGAAACAAGTCCCTGTCCCCCCGGGGACATGTTACGAGCGATGCGTTGGCGACTGATAATCTGTGACGTCAATATCAGTCTTAAATCATGGGTGCATGGTTACATATTTACGGTTGCCAATCACCAAGTATACGTCATAGTGTGAAGGAAATTGACACACTATAGACATTGCCAACAACATTTATATAGGACTAAAATGTATATACATTTCGATACGGACACCAGGGGATTAACCACGCTGCCAGTATGTTCTATTTTAGTGGTCTACAAACAGCTGATCGCTACTGGCACATGCCAATCAAAACACATAGAGATACAGGGGGCAATATCAGCGCGAGTAACACTCAACAATTAGAAATCCAGCTTAGAATAAATCCTAGCGGGAGCTTCTTCAAACGCAATCGACCTTTAATTATTTATGAGAGTAACAGTGCTTACACAGCAGATAATTCCAATGTCAGCGAATGAAACGCACAAGTAAAATAGATTAAATCACATGGTATTACACACTACGACACGAAGGCAAACACGTGTAAACATTTTGAAGGGTCTGCCATCCAACGTGTGGAGTGAGCAAATAGGGCACGAGCTATGTATTCATATTCTTTATGAAATCACCGAGTAAGTTAAGTTATACATTGGTGTGGTAAACACTTCCTTGTATTCATTTGCTCTTAGCAAATAACGCGTTTGACAGTTGAATGTGCTTTATGGTCAAATCTAATTCAACAAAGACTCCAACATACCCGCGTTCGGCACATTAGTCTTTGCAAATATAAAAGTAAATTACATAGGATATCCAGTCTAAACGAAACGGATAATCCTTTTCTGATCGAATACTATCATAACAAATAGGTACAAGGCGTCCGCAGGGTCGTTATCTGACAATACGAGACCAAGATTGTATCCTTTTTATTAACCCAAACAATTTAAGTAGGTCATGGCAATAAGATGAATCTTTGTACAGTGTTTATTGTTTAAATTGACCTTATAGCTCTCAAAAATAAGTCAGAAGTGACCATCTTGAATTTCTAATCGAAGAAATTACAACACAATATCATGATTATCATTAGAACAAAATTTGGTCAAAATAAGCCTAATAGACCTTTAAATCTCCAACATGTCTCAGATATAATTTCCTTATATTGAATCCCCTCTCTTGCTTCAGAAAGGTTACTCCCATCATTCAAAGATGCTACATTTTGTGTAAAAATTTAACCCTCTCCTTTACGCAGGATTGCACATCTTTCATTTACATAATTCTAATCGTCCTTGGTCCTCGGATGCTTCAAACAGGAGATTAACACCAAATGCGTTTTATCAAATATGAAATTCATGCTGGTCTAAACAACTTTTGAAACAGATATAAAAGCACACAAAACCCCTAAACTATGTAAACTTTTGAAATTTAGAGATCTTGTTCATTATAAACCGTGCCACAAAAGAGAAATTGTTGCCATCAAGGTTAAAGCAAACTTCGGGGACTAAGAAATCCACAAGCAGAGCCTACCAACATGTATCTTGAATTGTGATGTAAGACACATACTGTATAACACGAAATGTTCGTTGTGCATAAACATTCGTGGTTTTCGTGTGGCTGATGACGAGAATAAATACAGTGCATCTGAATATAGGATATCCACGAAAGTTTGTACCACGAAACGACCTATAGGCTTCAAACCACGAAGAAAAGTGCCCACGAACATTTCTTGTTATAGAGTATGTGTTTGTATCTATACAATAAATGAAGCAAACACCAAAGCCAAAACACATGTTATGTTCCAAATCTATCTTAATATGAAACAGAAGACAGGAGAAAAGCGGCCTAAGTGATATCTGGTCGAGCTTCTTTATACGCTTCCTCCGTTGAAAGGCGTTTCATCACATATTCGTATTCTTTCAGCTTTGGTAAGACGATGGCAATGTAACCTTCCGTATGTGGCTGAAAGAAAAGAAAAAACAATCAGATCCGACATCAGTTTAAGGATGAGTAGAATTTCAGCATAATTGATATCAAATATTTCATTTCAATGAAATTTCATAGGAACAGATTTTAACTGCACAATTAAACAGAAAGACATTAAAACAAGAGGCCCAACGAATTGAAAATGTTCACCAATTATTTAAAATGGTATGACGTCGAAAAAGAGAAATAAATATAAAGGTTTTATTAAGAATAAGTAAACATTTAGTAATGGCTATCTTAAAGGATCTGAAGTCACATTATTTAAAATGGGTCCTACGGATAATTTAAGGTTGTAATTTACCGCTTTATCTCAACCAAGTTCGTAGGTCGTCTCAAAGCGGTTAACAAATTATTATCCGTGGTTATAGGGACTTCGCAACCAGCAAATATATTTCTCAACTCCCTACAGCCGGTTCTGCCATTTCGGCGCTCACAGCTAGCATTCAACTGTTATATCACTGCCAATCCACGTAATCATTTACAGCCGAGTAGACTGTAACAAGCGTAGTAAAGTGTATCGCTCAAAGATATAACACAGCGCCGCGCTGTGACTCGAACCCGCAACCCTTCGGTCAAGAGCCCGGCGTCCTACCACTAGACTACCGTGCCGCCATCAATCATAATTAGGGCCATAGTAAAAAAAAAATCATTAATACTATAAAATGTTTTGTACCATTTGCCCTCTGATTGTTTATATCAAAACTAAGACGGTTACAATCATATAGCGTATACATGTTCTAATGGAAAAGGCTTTCGTTGGGCCCTACCCCTTTATCCTCGTGGAGACAAAACATGATCAACTTATACAACAGCGAGTCCGTCTTTTGGTCTAGGTACATTTTATACTAATTAAAACTGAATCCCCTTCACCCGTACTGAAGATATCTACTTTGAAATATTTGCCATATCATTCATTGATACTCATGTGTGTTCCTTTGACCTTTTGATCAGGTCATTATGTACATATTTCGACATAATGCCAACTTAAGGTAATAGGATTGTGTCGTCATTTCTCAGTAGAATCTATTCAAATTTTGTAGTTATATTGCTTTGAAGTAAAGAACATTTTCTGCCACACAAAAAGTTAGGTTGTCAGAATTTTAAGGATTTTAAATGGAAATTTATGTAAAAATGAGTGAATTTTGAAAAAAAAATGAAACACAATTGTTTGCAAATTAATGTCAATAAAAATGATACTAACATAGATTAGTATTCCATGAATGTATATCAATTTCATAAATGCTGAAATTGTGTAAAATTTATTACGATTAAAAATTGACATAAAACCATATACACATAGTAATTGCATGCAAGAGTTATCGTTCTTGAAAAACTTCACAGTAGTGAAATAGGTAGCCGGTTTCCTGAAGTACAGAAAAATGGACACATGTGACTCATTGATTAAAAAACAACTGAATTAATGCCTGGATTGCTTTGAAATACTTTAATATAGAAAGAACACACTGTTCTGTCAATAATAAGCATACAATATTCATCAGTTTAATATTAAACATTAGAATATGCGGAAATTGTGATACTGGATTTTCAACTAGGGATGCACTTAGCAATACACTCCTATGACCTTAACAGTCTTTTATGCAATATATATTCGACAGTACTTCACCCTGGGCAATGTTTTATAAAAAATAACTCAACAGGAAGTGATCAGGTAGTTTAGGTTTGTTAAAGGTTTCGTCAGAGCATCGTGTAAACGTTTAAAGCAATATAAACTAGGCAGTTGTCATCCTGAGTGTGTTATGTAATATGAACTCGAGAAGATGGCATCATTGCTGTTTTATGTGCCATAAAATCAAAAGGATTTCGTCATGAAAATGTTTCATTAATATGGACTAGCTATAGACAGTAGGTACCTTGACAGTGTTTTATTTGGTATACCCTTGACAGGTGGTTGTTATGTAAGTATTTTGTGACAATTCACTACAACATGATACTTCGTTTGTCCGAAACAATCAATTCCTATGCAATCTTAATAAACGGACTTCTATACGGATTTTTAGGTTAAGAAAATGATAGATATTCTCCATTTATAGTACATTACATCAGTTCTTGACGATAAGCCTCCCTATGATGAGAGGACATTTACAAGGTACAAGTGTACTTAAGCGATAATGGGCTACAGTACATGAAGCGTAAACCTTGTCCTACATCGCTACCATTCGGAAACCTACACGAGCATACGTCTGCCAGAAGGTTATCATAACCCTGATACCAAGGCCAGTAATAATCAAACAATTTCGTTTAAACTAACACCACTTCCGCGTATGCTCGCCACATGCCCTGACCTACAAAGTATGGATACGCCTACTTTAGCAGAGAGTCCCTGTGTTTTTTACTGAATTATCAATACATAAGCTATAAAAGGTATATAGTGCATGGTAATTAAGCAAATATTCACTTAGATTGATATCAATTTTATGCCAATAGTACCTAGACAATATCAAAGTGGTTTAAACTGAATTTCGGGCATCATTATTTAAATTTATACAGAAATCTATACCGTGGAAATTGATTGAGTTTCATGTAAAAACCCATGCTGTTTCATTATTACATACGATTACCGTGCACTCTTCCAAATCCCAACAGCACTAATAATCAGAATCAATATCTAATTGTAACGTTTATATTCTGATTGTCACAAGAATTACACGTAATTAGATGTCTCACCTGTCCCTTCTTTGATCATAAGATTCAATGTGTGAAACATTCTTAGTTCAATCCGAACCTCGGAATTTGGATGTTGAGTTTCATGACAAGAATTGTAAACGGACGGAGGCACGGACGCACGTACGAACAATGCATTACCTTAATATGTCCCGTGAAAGTTGATTTGATTTATTTTCGTTCCTTTGTGCCAAGAACATATTAGCGGGTTATAATTTTGGGAATCTCAATTTTGTAAGTGTATTTGTGAACACGTGTATGTTGTGGCCACGATATCATAATATTGACAAGGTGCATTATGTCACTAATTTTGATGCAGTGTGAGATTAGCCAAATTACAACTCTGGTGAACATTAGCAACTCTACAATACATATAAGAATATACCTGTGTTTTCAGAAATTCTTCTTGCAGTTAAAAGTTGAGGGACATCCATAATGGCTTGTGGAAATTGAAATAGGATTCCAGTGTTCCACATTGAACATATTTGCCAGTATTTGTAAACATAAAATCAATGGTGGTTTGTAAATCTGTAGTGTATTGTGTGATTAGTTGTCTAAACCCTACGGATTCCATGAATTGCAGAAGTCTTGTACTGCGTCTGAACATTAATAAGGATGCTGTCAAAGTCACTGGACCGCAAAATATAAGGCACATCCAGCATATGATGCATGGCTTGGGATGCACTACGTCTAAAACAACGTTTAAAACAACTACAGTCCAAGTTTATTTAGTACAACACTTTAACTTTTTGAGATACAGCATGAAACGCACAGATAAACGCAAAACCTTTACATTGATGAAGTTGCTGTGAAAGTCACTGGACCGCAACATGAAGGGCACATTCAGCAACTGATGCATGGATTGAGATTAAGTATTCAAGACGCATGTATGGTCCAAGTTTGGTTGGTCTAGCACTTTTATATTTTGGGAAACAGCGCTAAACGCAAAACCTTTACATTGATGAAGCTGATGTGAATGTCACTGGACCACGATATGTAGTGCACATTCAGCAACTGATGCATGAATTGAGATGAAGTATTTAAGAGGCATGTATGGTCCAAGTTTGGTTGGTCTAGCACTTTATTGTGTTTGAGAAACGGCGCTAAACGCAAAAACTTAACGGTGATGCTGCCGCCGGAAAAGTAACACCTACATCATATGTAAGTCCCGCATCCTCGACATCCGTCGCAGGCGAGACAATAAGAAACTATCGTCTATAAATATATTCTTAATCCAGTTAATTTCATCACTACTAGAAAGATAATGAATCTATTACTCTAACTTTGGTTCTAAGAAGAAGTGCAATTATAATTTTCTTTAGAACAATCGATTACGCACATGAACGCAGAGAAGCTGTCATTCAACCAAAACCCTCCATAGACATTCTAAACCATACACAAACAAGTTATGTATGAAATCGATTTATATAAATGTAGTTTAGTTACTTTAAGCATTCGGTATATCAATTTCATACGCGAATGTAGTAACTATAGACAAAAATAGGCCTAAGAAAGTAATTCCAAAGTACTAACAAAATAACGGAAAATAATAACTTCAGTAGAACCGATTAGCATCGTTATTTAACTCTGTAACTTTGTAATACTTTCTCTCGTGTACCGAACATATATCATATCATCATATCCCGATTGCGCAATATCGAATTTCAGAGACAGTCATGATTATGGCATAACATGCTGATAATTGGTAGGACAAACTTTCTCAGATTTGACAGGCGGCATCAAGAGAGATCCCTTGTGGAACAGAAAACCACAAAGGTTCTTTGTCTTTTCGATTGTGAATTGGTATTATAGTAGAGCTTAATTCGAATCCTTTAAAACACAAGTTAAAATGTGAATACACTATTACTCTTGTTGCTCCTAATATCTTACCTTTCAATCATATTGATAGGTATCTCCATTGCAAAAATTATCTGAAATTAAATCATCAAACTGGCAACCAAAAACCAGATACGTTAATTAATTATTCAATTAAGCTGATTCCCCTGAATATTTAGCATTCCACAACGTGAAGCATAAGGCACATACGTATCAATCCTGGGTTTTAATTACACTGCGGAAGGCCTTGCTTGTCTACAGATAACCTGAATCATAATCAATTTTCAATTCGACATGTTGAGTTATCGCACTATCTGTGTACTTATCTCGACACGAGGCCCAGGCAGCTTGCAGATGGTATCAAACCTGCTAATTGCGGCAATCATTATTTTATTTATAGACAGCTATTTTCCAAACAGCTGATTCTACTGTGGATCTCATAGATCTGTGATGAACGC